CACAGGAAGTCGGAAGTGATGTCATGCTGGACAAGAATCAGAGTCCGAATAACATTTTTTCTTATTCGGACTCGAGTCCGAATAGTCACTTTGTTTTTTTTTACCACTGGCGAGTCGAGGCGAGGGAAACCCAATAGTCTAGGAGGAAACCCCGGAAGACGACAAAAAAAGATGGCTGAAATACGTCATCTAGAATCTAGATTCTAGATCTAGATTTAGATCTAGTTCTAGATCTACATTCTAGATCTAGAATCTAGACTAGATCTAGATATTATTTGGGAAAATCTCAGAGTAGAGGTGTGCTAGGTGCTCGCTGTAGCTTCATGTAATCGCTACCAACTAGAATCTTGATCTAGAGATCTAGAATCTAGATCTAGACTAGAATAGATCTAAGATCTAGATCTAGATCTCAAGATCTAGATATATATATCTAGATCTTAGATCTAGATCTAGATCTAGAAATCTAGAATCTCTAGATCTAGTCAAAAAGTAAGCCTAATCATTTAGAACCAGAAGTAATTGTAGGTGGGGTCAAAACTAGAAGATATATCTAATCTAGATCTAGATTCTAGATCTAGATCTAGATCTAGAATGTAGTATATCCCAAAACAGGGCCAACACTCGTAGTCGCCTACCCAGACTTTCATTTTCATGGGCCCACCCTACAACTACAGTAGCCTACACACTGTACCGTAGCCTACAGTTAGGCATCTGCCTCTATAGTATAGTAAGTTGACAACGGCAACGGCGAGCAGTACAAGACATTTTTGGTTTTGGTTTGAGATCCATCGCAGTTCCTGAAGATATAGATTATTCAAATAGAAAGAGGTAAAAGTCACTAACCTGGAATCTGTAGAAGAAAGACTTGAAGTCCAAGATGAACCACATAGGATTGAAGATTCCCAACCGTCCAATCAGTGGGATGACCACGGAGCCAGTGAACCAATACTTTGTTATTTGTGGTATACTTCTATACCAATCTCCTATGTCGTTTGAAGCCATTTTCACTTGGTATATTGTTAACTATCCGCTGCTCTTAAATGCAGGCTACACTCTTTAAATTAATGTTTTCTAAAAACTGACGTGGCCTTCCTTACATTGGTTTATTTTGCTTGAGAATTGCTGATCAATCGAAAACGGAAGTAGAACTCTTTTCATTCTGGAACACTCTCCTCTCCTGAGTGGCTAGTGGCTATCAAAGAGTTATCTCCTTTTTAAACCTCTGGGCCTCTGGGCCTCTGGGCCTCTGTTGGCAGTAGGGTAGTACATGTAAATTTATGGTTGCTATCCAAGGAGATTAAAAGTAATGGAGGATGTAACATGCATTCGCAAATCAGTTGATCTCATAATACTGACTTACTTTACTTTTTCTGTCCTCTTTTGTACTTGTACCTCTAGAGCGTCGAGGGGAGAAAAAAAGAGTTCTCTGTCTCTAGCAAGTTTAATTTTGATGGCCTGGCTGGGTGGGATATTGTATGTTCTCAGGGTATCCTTCACACCTTGGATTCAGGTTTTTATCTTGGTCTTCCTCTTTCCTTGTACCCTGATACTTTCCTGTAGTAGGCTTTACTGGCAAGCTGGTGAGGTGCCATACGTGTGAGATGTCCAAACCACCTGCATTTTTTATTTTGTTTGTTTGTTTGCTTTCGAATGTAGTGGGGGACAGGTGTCGTTCCCACCATTTCTCGGAAAATTATGAAATGGTGCTTTGGTTTAACGCCCCATCACTATTTGGTAATTTAAGAGCAGGACCTCCGAGTTTAATGTCCATCTCCGAAAGGACCGAGCCAAGTGGGAAATTCGTGTAAAGTGCCTTTCAAAAGGACACAGCGTCGGACTGAGCTGAGGCTCGAACCCCCGAACCCGTAATCTCTCGATTACAAGTCCAGTAGCACCACTAGGCCACCGCGACAGAGAGCTTAAGTGGAAGCTGTGTGTGTGTGTGTGTGTGTGTGTGTGTGTGTGTGTGTGTGTGTGTGTGTGAGTGAGTGTTTGTGTGTGTATGTGTTTGTATGTGTGTGTGTTTACGTAATTTAATAATTCAACTTTGCTTTTTTAACATCTCTTTGCCTTCATTATACTCTTAGTCAAACTTAATGGTGCCATTTACGGTCGCGTGTCATCACATGGGGATAGAATAGGGAAGTAATTTGATATAACATTTCCTGCACTTAATGCTGACTGGTCTGTCTTTCCATTTCATTAGACTAATTGTGGTCTATACTGTTTCTTTCGAGACGGGGACTTTTAACGCCAGTGGTGTCTGAGTTGTCGCTGGACGCAATTTTGGTTCCGGTCTAGACGGTCATATAATCAGGCCACCTGCGCGCTACTGACCTAGATTCCTTGTGGACTGACACACCCGTGTAGTAAGCCCACAACCTTGTAGATCATCTATAAGTGATAAGCCTACGCAGGGTGCGGCGGTCAGTTTGAATTGTTGTTTTCTCATGCTTTGACACTGGATTATTTCTGCCTAATGCAGTTTGCTTTTCAAGTCATCTGGATTATGTGAATATTTTCTACATCATTGTGTGTGTTGAGGAACAGAGGTGGTGACTAATTAATTAATTAATTAAGATTGACCAACAGTCTTGAGATCGCAAATTTGAAGTGCTGTTTGGCTGCACTGTAGGCCTACTGTTCATTTTCAGATTCTTCATCGCCATCGTACTCAGTGAATGCCTGGATTCTTTTAGTTGAGGCCTAATGCAGTTTTTTTTTTCAAATCATCTGGATTGTGTGAATATCAAATCTTTTCCATCAGTGTACGTGTTTAGATTAAACCTACAGTGAAGTTTTGACCGTGCAAGTTTAATTCATATCTGTCTAAATCCATTCTAAAATCCATGTCTACACAGTGGAATTCGTAGGAATGTATCCCAGAACCTGTCTTAGAGCATCTCCTATCTTGAAAACGTTTAAATCAGTCATCTTTTTCTGTGCATCGGTGCTGCGGATGGTCAAGTACGGCTGCCGCGGAAGCTCCCTGAGAGGAGGGAGGGCAGAGGCAGTCGTAAAGGTCCTTTTTCCTTTAGTAGTTTGTTTGCTCGGCTCGGCGGCCGCACCCGCTTCCGCGAGCCGAGACTTTTTAACGTTGGGAGCTGGGGAATGGTCTTTTTGATTTTTAGAATCCATGAGAGTTTTCTTTTTGATTCGACTCCGGGGCTCCCCGCCCGCCACGGAGCCCAACAAGGGGACACATAGCTCGGATATCCAGAGCTGTGCCAGGGCTACCCCGGAGCTATACTCTCAACGAGAAAGTACAAGACCCTCCCGTCAAGATTGACCCAGGGCTTGATGGGGTTTCAGCTCTCAACCGGTTGAGTGGCATGGGCCGTGCCACCCTCCCGTCTAAGAGGAAAACCTGGGCCAAAGAGGTGTGTTGGTGAGGGACAGTCCGTGGACTGATCTCACCTCAACCGCCAGGTACCCGGTTTCCCTCCGCACGGGTCGCACCTCACGGTCAACAAGGCGCCCACTCTGTGGGATGGGTGACCTCTCTTTTTGCTGCACATGAGGTCAGCGGTGGCAGGAAAGACAGAAGAAGAAAGAAAGAAGGAAGGAGAAGAGGAAGATACACCAAAGTAGGTGTCGCATCCGGATCTCAGAGGATTGGGGTCCGAGTGCGACACCTCGCCTTTGAAGGGGTTGCACCTTCTGCAGACGAAGCAGTGGGTCTATTTATATCCCCCCGACCCACTGGGGGTAGGTGGAAGAAGAAGAAGAAGAAGAAGAAGAAGAAGAAGAAGAAGAAGAAGAAGAAGAAGAAGAAAAAGAAGAAGAAGAAGAAGAAGAAGAAGAAGAAGAAGAAGAAGAAGAAGAAGAAGAAGAAGAAGAAGAAGAAGAAGAAGAAGAAGAAGAAGAAGAAAAAATGATAGAAGAGGGGTGAGGGGGAGAAGAGGGGGCGGAGGAAGAGTCCTCCCCGTCCTCCCCTAGAACCCCATAGCTGTTAGAGAGTGGCACCTCAAAGGGGGGTGCCACAGGGATAGTAGCGGGCTTTTTATTTCTGGTGTTCTTTGGCACAGAGACTTGCCTGTTGACCGCGGGCTTTGGGAGGTCGGCAGTAGTATTACTTGCCAACCTCGTGACAATCTGGGTTGCCTTTGAATATGACCGGCCAATGACTGGGGTTGTGATTGGCGGGCAGACAACCTTACGGGCCTCCTGGAAGGAGCAGCCATTTCGCGCCTTGTATTCTTGGATGGCGCGTTCTTGGAGCCAAGTCGGGCACTCCTTGCTGAAAGCTGTGTGCTGGCCGTGGCAATTGGGGCAACAAGGACTAGCCTTGCATTCCTTCTCAGGATGCCCGGTCTTGCCACAACGAGGACACACGGCTGCGTGACGGCATCGTGACTGGCTATGGCCGAACTTCTGACACTTGAAACAGCGCAGAGGGTTCGGCACATAGGGTCGTACGTCGAGTACCAAGTAAGATGCCCGAACGGTGGCTGGAGGGCGACACGATTCGAATGTTAGGACAATCGTGTTCGTCTCGATAGTAGTCTCCCCCCGCCGAAGAGTAATCCGGCGGGCTTCGACCACTCCCTCACAGTGCTCCACAATCTGTTCCATGGAGCAGCCTTTCAGCTCATGGCTGCGGACCACGCCCTTCGAGCGGTTAAAGTTTTGGTAGTGCTCTGACTTACATTGAATACCGCCGAAGGTCGTGGTATCCAGGAGTTTGGTCACTTCGATCTCGGTTGCGCACTTGACAAGGAGTGCACCACAGGAAAGTTTCTGTACACATGTGGGAATGTATCCCAGAACTTTCCGTAGTGCATCTCCTGTCTTAAAGAGGTTGAGGTCGGTAATTCTTCTCTGTGCGTCTTTGGTACTGGAGATGGCCACGTACGGTTGCCTCAGAAGCTCCTTGGGAGGAGGGAGGAAAGAGGCATCGGTAAAGGTCCTTTTACCTTTTTTTGAGTTTTTGCTCGGCTCGGCGGCCGCACCCGCTTCCGCGAGCCGAGACTTTTTAACGTTGGGAGCTGGGGAAGGGTCTTTTTGTTTTTTTGAATCCATGAAAGTTTTCTATTTGATTCGACTCCGGGGCTCCCCGCACTCCACGGAGCCCAACAAGGGGACACATAGCTCGGATATCCAGAGCTGTGCCAGGGCTACCCCGGAGCTATACTCTCAACGAGAAAGTACGAGACCCTCCCGTCAAGATTGACCCAGGGCTTGATGGGGTTTCAGCTCTCACGCCTCTGATATTCTGGCTCTTTCTCTGTCGGTGTGCTTACTATTACTGACCTCAGTTTCAAAGGCCCCGATGTTTTAAGCCAGCAACCTGATGCATCCACACGCATCTGCAATTAACGTTCACGTCGGTTGGTATCTTCTATTAATTAATTATCTCCGAGAATAAAGATAATCATATATGAATTTGAAACGGGTAGAAACTCATCCATCAGTGACATTAATTCAGCGTGGGTTCTCGCGATTCACTGCATCTCAGTATGTAATGACCAGAGACCGTTCTGAAGTACAAAATTCGGGACCAAAGTGGTAAACCTGCAACCACCCCCCCCCCCACCCCCCCCAAAAAAAAAAAAAAAAAAAAGATGGGGTTTCCCCGTCTTTCTTACTCATTTTGTTGGGGGGGGGCAGAGTCACATCGAATTCGCCTGATGCGTAACACTATTTTTATTTTTTAAATCTATCCCGTAGACTGGAGGTCCGTCGTGGTGTTTTTGAAGATATGGCCACCAGCTTCCTCCACTCCATCCGGTCTTGAGCTTTCCTGAGCGTGTCTTTTAGGTCCAGGCTTGTCCATTCATTGATGTTGTCCTCCTAACTCTTCTTCGCTCTGCCTCTGCTCCTTTTTCCATGGACGCTGCCTCACAGGGTTATCTAGGCAAGGCCGGATGAACGTGTGATGTGTCCATACCATTGCAGTTTGTGCTTCCTGACCCGCGTGAGGTCAACATATGGTCCAATTGCATTGTTGATCCGTTGCTTGACTTCATCATTTGTGATGTGATCTTTGTATGAGATAACAAGGATTTTTCGGAAGCATTTCATCCCCACAGTCTAACACTATAGTGAGGTAAAAAAAAAAAAATTCCGTGGCCCAGCTCATTCTTAAAAATTTCTTTAACGGCCGAATTAGTGCCATTCATACTTTGCACAGCAGTTTGTATCATCATATTTTTCC